CCATTGATGGCATTCGCAGCTGCTTTCCAACACTTTCGTTAATATTCGTTCTATTCGCTTTTCTGCGCTTCATTCCCTCGATATTCGCGCGTCAAACGGTTATCTCAGCTGTTCGAGAAATTGTTGCGTGACACTGGTTTGCAATCAAAACTTCGTTTCTCTTCACCGAATTTACAATATTTACGTCTGGAACGCGTTCGAAGAAACTCGTGTCAGATCGAGATCGAGAATCCGATATATATCGTATATCGCGATCCTTTTATTATTATAAATTTTACAAAGAATACCTTTGATCGGTTGGCATGACTCATCAACTGCTTTACAAAGAAACGCGACAAGTCCGAAATACCGATGGCGTTAGCCAGCGAGCTGTTTCGAAATTTCACGAGTCGTTTCGTCGGAAAAAATTTTTGAAAATTTTCGCAAAATACGTATTATATTCGAGTCGAATTCATAAAAATTCATTTCCGCGAACGAGTTGTAGCGCCGTCTTTCGACAGGGCTCATTCACCGTGGAGAAAGAGAGAGAAAGAGAGAATCTAGTAGAACTGCGTATCGTAGGAATAACAGAAAGAGAGGAGACGCTGATTGCGCGAAAAAACTAGCATGACCGCGAAACGACTCGAACTCGGCTATCGTGTAAACGGATCGCGTGGTCGTCCAACTTTCCGACAATAGCAGCGTGTGTGTGTGCAAACCAGGGGCAACGAGTATTATTCCGAGCCCGTAAGTCGGCGGAGAGCCTAGAAACGTGGTCGAGAAAAACGGACTTCGTGCCGGAAGCTGTTTCCAACCGAGTTCCGCGCGATAACTACGCGAATGAGAGGCGAGGCGGGTGTGTAAATCTCGTGTGACGAGGATATAATCGCGATGAAACAAACAACTGGAGGCGTGGCGCGCGAGAAAGGATTTTAAGTTTTAGGAAAAAAAAAAAAAAAAAAAAGAAAAATAAATGCGCGACGATTACGATTACGATAACGAGTTTACTAAGAACCGGGGACTTTTCACTTCGGACGATCATTATCAGAGATAAATGATAATGCGCGTTCTACATTGTTTGCCTCGTTCCGATTCAAGAGTTTCGTAATTGTTGTTTGTCGTTAACTCGAAGTTTCGTGGATTCCTCACTCGTATCTTTTTTTACTTATACTTATCGAAATTCCGTGTAACGTTGATGAAATTTCCTTAGTCGATTGTCCATCGATTTGAATGATCTATTGTATTAATAGTAATACTTTATTCAAATATTTATTGAAATAACGTCAATGGAATCTCGTTCTTTGAAGTTGAAATGTTTACTAGCTATCGATTCGAGCGATCTATTGCAATTATAGCAGCAAGAGTGGGATTGTATTTACAAGTAAAATAAAAGTTGTCGATCCGATTTCTCGTTTCGCCGTGATCTTTGAAATCGTGATCGCGTATACAATAACGAAACGAATGAAGTGATATCGAAAGTAATACAGCAATTGGAAGAGTTGACAGATGGAAAAGAAAAAAAAAAAAAAATTAGGCGCGAAATATAAAACTTGGTATAGCCATTTACGAGCGATCTATATTGGTTAACGATCCAATATAGATCGAGTCAGAATTAATAATAAGGTTTGATAGATCGATCTATCGATCGCGTTTCCTCCGCTAAGAAGGAAGAAGGATGAACCGAGAAGATGCACGGCTTCGAGGTCGATGCTTCGACCGAAATAATTCTTCGGGAAAGAATTCGCGGGGCCGGGGATCCACTTTGGCCTATCCCTGCAACTAGAAAACGCTCGCAAGGACGGCGTTTTAATGCAATTAGAGATCAAGTTTTGCCGAGTTCAGGTCATCCATTTACCACCGGTTGCTCTCCTTAGCTACTCTCCTTAGCCACGTCTCCGCTCTACGTGTCAATTTATAAAAATCAGTCGTAAAGTTAAGAGCGCGTCTCTTCTTTTCTATTATTCTCCTTTATATTATTCTTTTCTTATTAATCGCACGTCATTTACACATAAATCAATAGTAATTTTCCATAGTAAAAATAGAAACGAGGAAAAAAAAGACGAGGAAGAAAAAAAAATCGCCAACGTCGTTCGACCACAACGATCCCATGCACAAACATTTAGAAACATTTTTAAAATCGATATTCTCTGAGATAGCGAATCTCGATCATCGCTTTCTCGAAACCCGAAACCTTCCTTCCCTCCTTCCTTCTTCCTTCCTTCCATCTCTTCCCTTCCAACATTCCACGCTCGAGCAAAGTGTAATCCGTGGAATTAACAACAAGCAACGAATGCGCAGTTCTAATTGAAGCGCTTCGATTCTCCTCTTTTAAACAGCTTCCTCTCGGCTGGAGACCCAGCCACCGTGACGCCGACCGATATTTCCTAAGAAAATATCGATCTGCCCACGCACACACACGCGCGAATACAATTAGGCGACGCGAAAAAGAGAGATGCAAAGCTACACTTTGGGCAAGGGAGGGAGGAAAGCCTTATTTGTGCAAGATTGCAACAACAAACGGCGATAACGCAACGAGTTTGATTTCAAATAGGAATGTGGTGGAATGTGGTGAAAGAGAATGTGGGGAAGGCACGCGACGAAAAGAAGGTGGGAAATTTGGACGAGTTCCATTGTTCGAAATGGAACTCGGCTTCGTTTTGTTCGTGTGAATAAATTCGGGGAAAGGAAAGCAGGAATCCAAGAAGCTTGGATCCAAGCGCGGGGAGGAAAGCGAGAACGAAGTTTCTCGAAGCTTGGTTGCTTAGCTGCGACTGCTATCGTTGGTGCTGACTCTCCTGGAACGCGAAGAGGTAGGGATCCCTCTCGGTAAAAACGAACCCGATGTAGGTTCTGTATACACAGCAATTCCTGGAGCGTGTGCATCGTGTTCGCATAGGTCACGATTCCAGCGATGGAATTATAAGCGCATGAATTTGAAGGATATTGTTCCATGGTTCGTTTTTTTACGAGAGATTCGTCGAAACCGAAAGTTCGACGATGGTTTTGAATCGACGAGGATAAGTCGAGAATTAAAAAAAAAAAAAAAAGAATAATTCATCGTCAGTTAATTTTCCTCGAGGCGTTCCAAGAATTTTGCATTCCTGTCTGGCGTTGATCGATCGGTCTTTAGATTAGATCGGACCTTGATTTTGAACTCGAGTCGATCCTTCGAGCAAAAGGAAGGAAAAACCTCGAGTTTTTTTACGTAACTCTCGACAAACAACAAGTATCGGTTTCCTCGATAAAGTTCTTGCCTCGATTCGAGTACAATTGTAAGAATACAATTACAAAGCGATTCCTTTTTCTTGCGAATTAGATCGGAAAATCGAATCGGACGGAATATCGGGCGTACGTTCGACGAGCTGAGGAAAAGGAAAAACCTAAAAGAAAGAAGAGAGAAGTTTCTCGAAGGTTTGCTCCGTAGACTCTGCTCTAGACCCGCTCGAAAAGGAGAAGCGCGGCGAGAGAGAGAGAGAAGGTTGTGACGAGAGAAAGAAGCCGATTCGAGTGCGTCATCTTTGAGAAAGGGAGACACTCGTTACACTCGTAACAGATTTAGAAGGCGTACGGGACGAGTAAAACTTTGAAGGGAGAGAAGAGGAAGATCGAGGAGAGAATTTAGAAAGGAGACAGAGAACAAGAGGATTAAACGGCGGAAAGGTGGGCCAGGTGGCGGGGAAAGGAAGGAAGGAAGGAAAAGAAAGGCGAGCTATTGTCGAACCGAGGGATAAAAACAAGGCGTTTAAAAACGGAGCTGGGAAATATAAAGGACGGGGCGACAATAGAGAGGAAGAGAAGACACGAGTATATACCATTGGTGAGGAAGATGACCAAGAGCAAACCGTTGACCGCGCCTGAGCGAAGAACGAACGACGTGTTCGACGAGGAATCGATCGCGGTCCGATCGAGATGGCGAAATCTCGCCGCCTTCTGGATACTCGGCCTGTGCAACAATTACGGATACGTGGTGATGCTTAGCGCGGCGCACGACATCCTCGAGAGCAAGTTTGGAACCAGGGTGAGTAACAACGTTCCTCTTTCATTTATTCCGTCGACGAATCAGCTTCGCTTTCGGGCCAGAAAGGGGAAAAGAGAAAGAGAACTCTGCTCTTTTTCTTTTTTCCCCGTCCTTCTTTCGTACCAAGAAACGGTAAAAAAACGGAAGGACGAAAAGGAAGGAGGAAGGTGAAAAAGGGCGGTGAAATTCGATGCGCGCGAGAAAAAAGAAGAACTCTTGAATTACTATTTTTAGTGTCGCTTTAAGTCCGGGATGGAGTCACACGGTTATAATTAACGGTACCGTAATGCCATATTCGTAGAATCCGGACGAGTCCCTGTTAAAGTATCACGGAGTCGTGCCTCGCCGAGGATACTCTCGTTTCCGGCGATGAAATCACGACGAACGCTCACCTTAAAAAGAGCGGCATCTTTTTCTCGTTATTTCCCATTTCTCCGCTCCTCGCCTCGACTCCCTCCGTTTCTCGATCGAAATCCCTTCGTTCTCCCGAAAAAAAAAAAAAAAACGCGCGAAATCTTTGTTTCGTTCGTATATCCATCGACCAGTTTCCAAACCAGCGACAGACGCTCGATTGCGAAACGACACGTAACCGATGGCGCGTTCCGCGAAGCGAAACGTCTTCGAACGTCAATTCCTCGAGATCCTCTCGTGAGATTATCACGCGTTTAACCGCGGCCGTAAATCATAAGCGACAATTAATCTTGATAATAATGGGCGAGCAAAGATATGTGTAAATTCGCGGAGACGTAACGAACGATCGAGCGAGTGCACTCGGACTCGTATAACGCGCCCGCTGCACAAGACACGATGAATCATCGATACAGTACACGCGGCCGTATTACAGCGCTACGATTAGGTCCTCGTATCGATTGGATTCCTTGTTGTCACTCGATGATGCTCCAATTTCCGCAGGAGTGTACACGAACTTAATGGTAAAGTTCTGGAAGGAATAAGAAAAAAAAAAAAAAAGAAAAGAAAAGAAAAAGAAAGACAAAAGGGTAATATCTGTTCGAAGCGTGTGCATAGGACGTAACATATATATATATATAAAAGTTGGTTGTTATTGGTTCCTTCGCGATCTCTTCCTTTCTAACGCGTAATCGTTTCGATCGGGTCTAAAACGTTGCGACATCGTTGATCGAGTGTCTCGATGCCCACGCAATTTTACACGCTTGTTTTTAAATGCAGCTGATATTTTCAATCCAGAACGATTTATGAATTGTATCCGCTATAT